GGCTGACTGTTGGGTGGTTGCTGTTAGGAGGTTGCGGGAATGGTGGGAATCGTTAAGTGGCTAATGGCTACTGCAACGGCAACGGAAATTGTAACACGACAAAAGCAGCAACAACGTTACCAACTATGGAGTGGTGCTCGTTGATATTCCGGACCAACAAAGAACTTACGTTCGATCATCTACGTATACATATCATACGTAGACTTATTAGCAGGAACTAGGTTACCATCACTCATTTATTCTCTATTTTTAATTTCTAGCGAAAAAACTTTGAAAACGTTGGTATTTACAGTAACACCAAGTTTCAACGACAAGTGACCAATAAGCTGGAATGCCACAGGTATACCAGACTATGTATATACGTACGAAGATCGTTTTAAGGAATTTGCGAAAAACTGTGAATAAAAAAGTTTGTGCAGAAGTGAAGCGAACGTTTTCAGCGGCTAGCTAGATATACGGAAATAGAAACACAGTAAAAACACCTTTCCTAATTTCCTGTGTATTTTTTTATGCTCCCGAAAAGGCCTTTTGACCGTTTTACAAGGATTTTAACTAGTTTCAGCTTCCCAGTCTTTCTTTGTACAATTTCCCCCAAAATAGGGAGGAAACCTGTTGAGCTAAACTCGTTGAAATCGTTTCAAAACAGTTAAAACACCCACTGCAACGTGAGAAATAGACAAGGGAAGCGGGGAAGGCGTCTTTACCGTATTCGTTTTCCGTATTTCTAGCTGCTGAATACGTTCCTTACATTCCTTTCCTTGTACAAGCTCTTTTACCGTCGCTTGCCACTCCCTGTCCACACACGTGACAAAAACATGTTCTGCCGGCCAATCAAAATTCAAAGTTTTTACGCTCAAACTTCAAAGTATACCCGCCCACTTGGGAACGTTTTGGCGCCAGTCACGCAAATGTTCGTAGCTGATTTTTCTGCCGTTTGGCAAGACATGGCGTTTACACTAACTAAGCTAGGTAGGAATTTCAAGCAAGGTGTACCACTGTCAAGCGATTTACGAAATCGAGTGATAGAACTCGCACAACTTCATTCGAATAGGGAAGCTGGAAGAAGACTGCGCGTAGATGCGAAGACAATATCGAAAATTGTCAAACAATTCAGAGAGTCCGGGAGTGAAGCTCCAAAACCTTTGAACCACACCATGGCTGCCTCTAAATGTTCTTTTCAAGACTCCATGTTATTGCAGACTATGGCACAAACAAAAGGATCATCGTCTTTGAGGGAATTACGGGACGATTTGACTATTCATGGTGACTGTGGAGTTCTGGCAACTTCGACAATTTCCAGACGTGTTCGAACCAAACTGCCAAGAGGTCAAAACTACTCCCGTAAAAGATTAGGAAAATGCGCATCCGAGAGATTCACAAATGATAACTTGGTGTACACTCAGAACTCTTTTTCGGAGTATCCTTCAACTGAAGCATTCCGGTGATGAACACCCCTATCTGAACAAAAAACAAAACAAAACAAAACAAAACAAAACAAAACAAAACAAAACAAAACAAAACAAAGCAAAACAAAACAAAACAAAACGAAACAAAAAAGGGTAACATATCGTGACATTAGTTCTTAAGGTAAAAAGCGTTTAGTAAAAAAACAAGATTGACTTAACATCTTGATTTGAAATTNAAAACAAAACAAAACAAAACAAAACAAAACAAAACAAAACAAAACAAAGCAAAACAAAACAAAACAAAACGAAACAAAAAAGGGTAACATATCGTGACATTAGTTCTTAAGGTAAAAAGCGTTTAGTAAAAAAACAAGATTGACTTAACATCTTGATTTGAAATTAGGAGTCTTACAGCTCTTGAGCAGCACTTTCAAGTTTCGCGCGGCTAATATGTTGAGTTAGAGAACTTTTGTGGTATCAGTAGGTGAGGTTACAGGGAAAAATAAATAATTGTATAGGTAAATATGGCAAAGCATTGACAATAGATTGTATCAGTCATTATATGGCCAGCTGCGCGAGGGGACAAGAAGAACCAAATCCTGCAATGTGATTGGAAGGTAAGATCAGAGTGTCTTTATCGCCAGGGAATGGTGCCTTTTTATGCCATATAATAAATCCCTTATTGACCAAGCTTATTCCGGTAAGAAGGCTGGATATGGCCTCGTTCTCTTTTTGCGTGCTTATGGACCGCGTCTCGGTCCATAAAAATAATGCAAAACAGAACTTGACCAATCTCGAACCACCTTGACCTCACGCTTGGTCACTGACTCGTATAAATTAAATATTGGC